ATATTAGTTTCTGCATGCGAGTTAGCTTTTGAAGTTTTAGCGGAGAACATCTGACATATTTTTATTTAGCAACTTCTGACAGAAAAAAATAATGAAAATCTTTCACGAAATTATTTTTGACATTTATAAAAATCTAACCGCATTCGGTCATCATTTTTCCTTTTTTTTTAAACAACAAATATATTAAAAATTTGTAGATCGTAATCGGAGATAAAACTTGGAAAAAGGGGGTTGGCTTAGTTTTTAATTAAAATAGGGGGTAAGTATGATGGATTAGGTAAAGATTTATTTAATTTTAGTAAATTTTTGATCTTCACGTCCCAAAATTGATGTAACAAAAAAAAAAAAATATTATATATATATATATATATCATATTTCAATTAAAAATTTTCGAAGCTCATTGTGAGACAAATATTATTTATTGTTCCTAAAAGAAAATTTCTCATTATCGTTCTAAGAAATGAAATTTGTATTAATTTTAACAAAAGTATTGGAGTAGTATGGGTGATAAGGATAACGCTTGTCTTCATTTAGAATTTATTAATATATGCATCGCTATATCTGAGAAATGAAATTTTTCAATTAACAATTAACAAAAGAAAAATTAAAAATGTAAATGTTCCAATTTAAGTTAAGCGGATTATGGTTATTACACAGATCGGTTTATTTTGATTATTTTCCAAGTTAAAAATAAACACGCAATAAATAACTACTTGTGCTTCCCGTCAGTGAATTGAAAGGTCGATCAAATTGACAATCTTTGTAAAAAAAAAAAAAAAAAAAAAAAAAAAAGATTTACCAACCGATATCAAGTACTATAAGTATTAATTTAACACCAAGATTTAAATATCGAAGGAAAGAGGAAAAAAGTAATTTGAAAAAAAGAGAGTTTATCGTGGTGTTGCAGTGTTGATCTTTTTCTTGTTTTATCAGAAAGCCTTTTGTTTCTCCCTGAATAGGGATACCTTCTTTGATTAATTGGTTTAGGAATCCAACTTCATTTTTTTTTTAACCTTCTTATGGATTTCCTTTCAAAGCAATTATAATTATCGACTAAATAAGTAACATTATGTTGGTATTATAAGTTAAGATACTGTATATACTTGATGATCGGAATTTGTAATAAATATGTAACATGTATATATTTAAAAATAGGTATTATAAATCTTACATCATCCTTTTCGGATCTATTCATCTATTAAATAAAGAAAATCACGTCTCAAAATAGGTTTTCGTAATCAATTAATAAGAAAAAAAAAGCTGTTAAGTAATTCGACCTAGAATTGAGCGTCGCATTAATAAAAAAAACCATATTTTTTTTTAAAAAAAAATGCAAAGCCTTTTCTTTACCATAAGCAGTTTCACTGATATGGCAGATAAATAACCACTTGTTGAATCGTCGTAGTTTACATGCATTTTATGAAATCAAGTATTATAATATTTGCCTGATTTGGTGTTAAGGGTAAGCGACTTAACTTATAAAGGCATTAATGTTTGACCAACTACGGTATATCGATGGAATGAACGTGTTTTTCCGAAATAAAAAAAAAAAGTAATCACAAATGATTGGATTGTGATTTGCGATTATTTTAAAAAGATCAATAGATCAAGTGGAAATTATGTGCTACACATTTTACGTATATAAATCGAAAATCACTTGAAAATTTATGATCGTTAGAAATAAGAATGAGTTGGGAATTCTAAATATTTAATTAAATCTAACATGAATAAAATATAATCGAATAAAGAAGTGATGAGTAATGCTTCGATAAATTCGTAAATTCGTAAATTCGAACAAGTAATCTGAAAATGACCAATCAAATTACCACAAATGTCACACAAGATTATGACAATACATATTATTAATTAAATTTTTTATTTATTGATTTATAAAAAAATTTAAAACGAATCTATTTAGAATAATGATACGAATTTAATGTTTTCAAGAAAAAAAAAATACGCCTTTTGGCAAAGATCGTTTCCCCCCAAGAGAAAAAAAAAAAAAAGACTTAAGAATGAATATAATTATGTTGTTGTTATAGAAATTAGTTACCTCTTCTTGTCCTTTCATCTTTAGAAAAGAATTTAAAAAGAGAAAGGGCCAAAACGCGTCAAAATATTGAATAAATTCTTTTATGATCTACTAAATTTTATAAATTTTATAATAAGTATCACAGGCGATATCATTAGGATTAGTATTGCCAAGTCACAGAATCCACATGCACATTGTTCCGGAACATCACATGTAATGTAACACATGCACAGTATCACATGTGCAGAAAAATTTCATTATTATGATGTATACATGGTATAATGTGAAGTTCATTTAAATAATTGAATATAGTTTTTAAAATTAGATATAGTTTAGCCAAGTCGCACTAAGAAGCAATTGTTGACGGAATATATTTATAACATCTTTTTATTTTCTTTATCCAATTTATCCATCTTTTTCATTCTAACAAATAAACCAAACTCTAAACGAAAATTGTTTGAAATAATATGAGACTACGATATTTGGAAAATTATTGATTTATTCATTTGAGGATGTAAGTTTTGTTTTACGTATGGGAAATATTACTACATATGAACACCAATCAATTATAATTAAATAGGAAATGACTTTTGTTGTTTGTTTATAGCCAATGATCAATTTATTTATCAATTCTAATAGAATGTGGTAGAGGACTAGTCGAAAATACAATGCTTTAGGATCATATTAAATTAATTTAAGATTAATTTCTAATTCTACCATTTTGTCCATTTTGTACCCGACTGTTGCATCGGAATACTTACTAATTACATCCAAGGTTTCTCCTTTCTTACATTGTCATTAATTTCCAACACGCTTTTCACATTTCTCTACCTTTTTATTTCACCTATTATTTTTCACTCCGGTTTTCTCATATGCCGTTTTTCGATTTAATTTTACCGTCGGTAATTAAAGGAATCCTCGTAATAGGCCAATTAATTTAATAGATTTCCCCTTACATCATTAATTAATCATTCACTCATTCACATTCATGAATTAATATTCTTTTAAGAAAATAAAAAATTTATTATTATTGTATTATGAAAGTTAATATTTATTTGGTAATACGTTGTTAAATTTGTTAAAAATTTTCTCACACTTTTTATAGCGGGACTATTTGGATTTATTGTTTATTTATTCTATTTTAACCCCTCCTTACCACATTTTAATTACTGATAATGATTCTGATTATGCTATTGATAATATTATTAGTATAATAATTACATCTCCGAAATTAGTTTAAATACTTGCGTTTTTATTTTTTATTTATTTTTTTTTTTACCTTATCGTCTTTCTCTCTTTCTTCCCCAATTTCCTTTTAGCGAAAGGTTTAAACGACAATAAATAGAAGCAATAATAAAAAACAGCAAAGTAAATTTGTTTTTAAATAGTTACTATTACGAGGTAAGTACATGTAACGTTACGTTCAAACGATAGACAACCTCCCCGGTTGCTTCGCGTAGTTTTTTTCCTTCCTAGAAAATCAATCAATACACAATTTAATTCCTCCCTGTCCCTTTATTTTTTCTCATCTTCTTTGCATGCTTAATTATTTATTATTCTCCTTTTATGTCTTTACGCGTCATTGATGAATTATTTCTGTTAGTTTGATTTTCGTCCTTATGAATCATCACCCGGAATCCCTTTTTTGCCGTTCTTTTTTGCTTGCTCTTTTTTTTCCCCTTTACATTTTAATTTCATCACTATCTCCTTTTATTTTTACTTTCGACGTAAATCTCGGTTTCTTTATTTTTATGCATCATTACTACTTGATTTTCTTATCATCGCTTTATTTCGTTTATTTCGCTCACATTTTATTTCTCTTATTGCTTTAATTTTATTTATTACAGATTCCTGATACATTACTTTTTTCGTCACTTTATCGTCATCATTTATCACTTAAAAAAAATTTAATACATTCGCATTAAATTTTTAATATTAATTGCGGAATTTCGGTAGGTTTCTGCTTGTATTTGTTTATAAAAGGTCATTCCTTCTTTTGCCTTCGAAATCGAAAAGTTTTGCTTCGTTTCACTAATCATATCCTTTTCTTTAAATAATTTTATATATATATTATATATTTATTTATCCTCTATAGTTTTTTTCTTCGTAAAAAAAAAAAAAAAATTAAATTCGTGGGTAATATATTTTTATAACATACATAACCTTGTTCCAAACATTCCCAATTCCCATTATTCTTGTATGTACCCCAGTTTAAATTCCCCTCGATTTTGCCATCCCCTAAAATTTTCTGTCCCTGAGAACTGCCGATCATACTTTAAAACTTAAATATTATATATATATATATATTATATATATATTTTTCAAGTACTTTTTTTTTTTTAGATTAAAATCTGCGATTATAATAAGCAAATTGTAGATTATTTTCGTTACACGAAATATTTTAATTATACATAATACAGTATATATATATATATATTATTATTATTATTATTTTTTATTTACTTGCGTCTATTCAATTTTTTTTAAAAAAACTGTAAAATAATAGATTAATACAAGTAAAAAAAAAAAAAAAAAAAAAAAAAAAAAAAAAATTTTCACATCAAATATAAATACCCATCTCTTCCTTTCATTTCTTTTCACCTTTTATCTTTTAAAAAATTCCAAAAAAATTATTATCATTTTTTGGTTTCAGTCCAACTCTTGGGTATATTTCTTTTTTTTTCTTTATATATCATAAAAAAAAAAAAAAAAAAAATTATTCCGCGATTCACCGTCCATTCTTTTTTTTTTTTGTTTACGTTTTTTTTTTCGCCCTACTTTCGCTCCCTTTCATTATCCGTTTCTTTTAGAAAAGAAAAAAAAGTATCCATTTTTTAGGTGGTGATTTCCAAGGTAGATTCGTGGAATCACTGCTGAAAAAAAAAAAAAATAAAATAAAATAATCTTCACGTTGAATAATTTTTTTTTTTTATTCGACAAAAAAAAAAAATCCGATTCGTATTTCATATGGTATCAATTTTAGCAACAGCGTTAACAACATCAACGACCATGCCTTCACAATTACAACATCACCACGATAACGGCATCGACGATGAAATTTTTACCAAACCATCTTCAAATACCATTATGGAAATTACTATGAATAATGCCAAAAATACTCGCCATTTTATTAACAATCACGATCCGCAAAATCACCATCATAACGTATCATCAACAAGAAAAAGTGAAGACGAAGACGCGATGATTGTGGAATTTGAAAACAAAAACAATCCTAAAAACGTCAACAACGAAATCGTACTTGATGATGATAGCGAAGAGAATATTATTAAATGTAAAAGCAACACCAACGATAACCATCGTAATAATAATCAACTGCGATCATCCTCAAGAATCTCGACTTCATTCCCACGAAGGAAAACTTCCGTGTTGGACATCTCGTCTCTATTGTGTGAATTACCTTCGGCCTCAGCCAATTCGCCCGTTTATGATTCCATTGATGAAGATAGTATGGACGATGTTTCAAGTCCAAGTCATTTAGGTGATACCGAATCGTTGGGATCATCTCGTTCTTTCCAAAAAAGTCGTGCATGTTCATCGACCCCGGCAACGACCCCCCCATATTCTCCACCTGTCATATCGACAACAATGGAGACTGATCGAGAGAAGCCACGCTTATTTAACAATAACAGAGACAATGGTTCTTCGGATGGAAACCTTGAAATGTCACAGCATGATAAAACACAACATTATCATTTCAATGATAACCATCGTCAACAACGTCATCACCAAGATGATGAGCGATTTGTGGGTCAAAGCAGGTTTCATGACGATGCCCCTTGGAAACGACCACGCATGATGGGTCAAGATCATGGTTCAAGACCCGTCTTACCTCCTATTAGGACCATAACAGATCTAAGATCTGATAGTAATAATAATAGTAATAACAACATTATTAATGATAATGAAGATTCCAACGGGCAATTCATTCATAATCAATCACCTTCTTCCGATCATGGGAAAATTAATTCGCAGGTCGACCATCATTCTTCCCAAAAATCGTGGAATCATTTGGAACAATTCGCTGCAATTACCGAGGCCTATCGTACAAATTCACATGCAGACATCATGGACACTGTTACTTCCACCGCGCGTCTGCCATCTGCATCCTCACTAACAACACCACGTCATCACTCGCTTGAAAGTAATCATCGTAACTTTCAAAATAATAACAATAGTAATGCTAGTTTATTTCAAAATGGTCCTTTGGGCTCACCTTTATCTACGGTTCAACAACAACAACAACAACAACAACAACAACAACAACAACAACAAGCGTTTCGCAGATCGTCCCTTGATGTCAACCAAACGCGTTTTAACCCCTATACTACATCCACATTGCACCCTTATGCATCTCCACGTCTGTTATCAAACGAGCAAAGGCGTCATTCGGACTTACCTGGTTTCACCGCAGCTTCCCCAAGGAATGATCAACCATCGATCGTTTCACCTGATAATTCTTACCCTCATCATCATCATCAAAGTAACATATCATCATATGGTTATGAGAGAGGACATTACGTTGCCGCTCATCAGCAACCGAGACCATCATCTTATGGTGGCATGCACAGCCCTCAATCTCCTAATACATATCCGGTTTCTCATCATCATGGATATTCCGTTCCGTCACACAACCCTTACCCGACCCCTCCCTCGACTCACCATCACCTTCAAATGTCTCACCATCACCATCTTGGATCTCCTTACATGGATCCATCAAGTTCTGGAACCATGGTTAAAGCTAAAAGAAAGCGTGCTAATGCGAATCAGTTAAAAGTTCTCAACCAAGTATTTCAACATACGTTCTTCCCATCTACCGAGTTACGTATTCAACTGGGAAAACAATTGGGAATGTCACCGCGTACAGTTCAAATTTGGTTCCAGAATAAGAGGCAAAGTTGGCGCAGCAAGTCACGAGCCACAAACAATTCCCTCCTTAATAATAATAAGGATGGTGATGGACAATTGGATGATAATAGCAGCCTTGATGTTGAAGCTAATGGAGCTGGGAACAATGGTATTAATGAAAATTTGGTTTCTCGAAGATCTAGTAATTCAAGTTTGAGTTGTTCGGATGATGATGAAGCGGGTCGAAGATCAATTCCTGATTCACCTTTGGAAAGTTCTTATCCTCGTGGTGATTATTTCACTTCAAAAAGATCTAGCGTCGAAAATGGTAGTATGGTTTCAAATGGGGACGTTTCTTCCACACAAAATTCTTTCATGGCGCAACCTCAACATCCTGCTGATAATGGGGGAGAATATTACAATCATCGATCAAATAGTAATGGAGTACACGTGATTACTGGATCTTTACATCATGGTGCTTCCGGAGTATTGACACCAACTTCTCCATTGCCACCACCTTCTTCTTTGACGAACCAATTACCGTCTCCTGTATTCTCATCTTCCTCAACAAAATCAGTTAGTACTGAACGGTTACCCGGTTTTGCTACTTCATTCGCACAGACGTACAATCAAAACACCACTTCAAAATCAACTAGTGCCAAAAATGGTTACGATGCGTTTGCTAATAATAGATTACCCACTCCAATAATGGTCAATCGACATCAACCATCATCTTTTGGATATCAATCAACTGTTAGCAGCGGTATCTAGTAAAAATATTTTGCATTCACATTATTATGAACAATTTTTAAATAATTATGTTTCCCATTTTTTTTTTATTTTAATATCTGAAATCTACTTTTTAATTCTTTATTTACATACTCAAAAAAATTTTTTTTTTTAATAATGAGCGTAACTAGTTTATTTTAATTGTGAGAGGGTTCTAAAGACACTTTTTAATATATATATGAAGTTATTATGATCCTCTTTATAGGTGAAATAAATAACGTAAAAAAAATATATATACCTTTACGTTTATTTTTTTCCTTTTTTTTTCCTCTTAATTGTAATATTTGTAAATATTTAAATTTCTCTGGCATAGTTTGATTTTTCTACCGTGTTTTTAAGGTTGGGTGGAGGATCCGGACATTTTTTTTTTTGGTGCTCGAAATTAATCTTTTACTTTTTTTATTTTATTTTATTTTATTATATTAATAATTTTTTTTTTTTAAAAAAAAAAGAAGGGGGAAAACATGTTTTTTTTGTTTGTTATAATGAACAATTTTTCGGCAGGAGCCGAAAAGAAAATTTTTTTCTCCTTAAAAAAAAAACCGGACAATCTTGTTTTCCTCTTTTCTCTTTCTTTGTAAATTTTTTTTCTTCCCCTAACTTTTTTTCCAAAGTATTACATAAATACTTTTTTTTCCTTTGAATTAATTCTTATTCCGCCCTTATCTTAAAAACACTTAATATATATATATATATATTTTTTTTGTACTCGATTTTTTTTTTTCGATTATGATTTCGCTTATATATGTCAAATCCCATTATTTTTTCATATTCAATCAATTTTCATTATTACGTTTTTTTACTTAATTTTTTTGTTCGGTAAAATATATATATATGTTTACAAATATATACATTTTACAAACTTAAATAAATATGCTTTTTTTTACATTATTATATATTTTTTTACGTTTTACTAAGATTTCACCTATTCACATTCAAAAATCTCTACTATTTTTTACCTCTATGTCTTTAATAATAAATACTTAAATTTTTTTATTTGTAAAAAAAAAAATAATAATAATAATCTTTTTATTGTTATTATTAAAATACTTTTAAAAATCTTTTTTTTTCCTTTTTTTGGTTCTTTTAATTTACTTTATTAAAAAAAGAAAAAAACCAATACAAAAAAATAATAAAAAATAATAATAAAATTAATTTTTTGAAAAAAAAAAAAGAGCATTATTTCACGTGTTTTAATGAGATGTTGAGTGCGCTTTTTAAATACTTCAACTTTCTTAACCCTAACCCACGCCCACAAGCATTAACTTGGATAGGATATTCGAATAAAAATCATTTCAATTAACCCTCCTCCGCGAAGAGAAAAAGAAAGTTCCTGAATAAAAAAAACTTAAACAACTTGAATTTACAGAGAATCAATGATTCATTGGCGTTTCGCTAAAAGTATTTAAATTTTCGATATTCGTTTGAATATTTTTTTTAAATTAATTAAAAGTTCATCATGATTAACTACTTTCCGTCTTACTGGAAAATAAAAAAAGAAACAAATGTAAGAAAGTTCAATATTTATAAAAAAAGGTTTATTTTTGATTCTAAATATTCTTATAAAATAAAAATCAAATTAAAAAAGAAATGCAAAAGTATGTTAAGTACTGGAATGCACGATTTGCTTTATAAAAATTTCTGAAAGTTCGAATTTTTTTCTGGAAATATTTTTAGTTTTCTAACGAGCTAAAAAATTTCTTGTATTTGATATCAAATATTTTGCAATAACGATAATAAAATATCAATATTAAAATCATTATTAAGAATGATGGAGTCGAAAAGACATGCTTATTACCTGTTTACCAAATTTTAAATTTTTTGATCTTTAATCTTTTTTACATCTGTTTTTTTACATTTTCATAAAAAAATTATTTATAACACCATCTTTACTTATTTCGTTAGAATTATTAATAACTAATAGTTTTGATAAATAATATTTGAATAAAATAATAAATAAGATTTAGTGTCAAATAAAATAAAATTTCAAATGTTTAATTATTCAGAAATTTTAAAATAATATAAATATTAAAAGTTAATTTTAGTTTTTTATAAATTTCTAATAAAATATTAGATAAATGGATTATTTCTTTATATAATATATTTTAATAATTTTATTTTTTAAAATTCTAGTTTTTAAGTAAATTTTGATATAATTAAAATTATTAAAATAATTTTTTACTGATTATTATATTTTAAAATTATTTAGTAAATAAATTTATCTATAAAATATATTAATTTTTTAATAAAGTATTTTAATATATATATATTTTTTATATTAATTATATTAAATTTAAAACAAATATAAAAAAAACTTCTTATAATAATAAAAAAGTATTTTTTTATAATAATTTTATAAATTAAAATAATAAAAGTATTACTTTTAAAAATGATACTACAACTATTTATTCAAATTTGTATTATTGTGAAATTTATAGTTGCATTTATAATATAAAACTGCAAGTTTGTAAGTTAAATAAGATGTCTAAAACTTTTCTAATATTTAGAGATAATTTTTAATAATAAAATTAATAAAAGTAATTAAAGTCATTTTTAAATTTAGAAATAACTTTGAATTTATTGATATTTCATTATTATAATAAAGTTATATTTACAATTAAATTTCTAAAAATCAAAAAACTATTAAAATTTTTTAATTAATAATAATAAATTTATTATATTTTATTTTAATTTTAACTTTTATTATAAAATGATTTCTTTAAATAATATACTATAGAAAATCTATTTTTTAATTTTTAAATTAAAAATGTTTAATCTTATTAAAATTACATATCTGTATTTAATTTCTATTACAAATCCTATTTCATTTAAAACTTAATTTTCACCTTCAAAATTCACAAATATCACTATTGTATAAAAGTATTATTTTTATCTATATATGGATTAATAATACCTTATCAGGGTCCCGAAATATACTAATAGAACTCACAAATGTAATATGAACATGCAATTAAAATTATATTGTATAGTATAACTCAGTCAATATTAATGCTAGAAAGATAAAATTACTCCTCTCAGTTAGGCGAATCCAATGGTATAAATTTCATTAAAATTGAATTACTGGTTATTGAGATAATAGGATATGTATGATATGTAAATTTGTAAAAATAAACAACTTTTGGCAAAGTTTACATATAAACTCTACGCAAACTCAAATGTGAGTTATATTAGTATAGTTCGGGATCCTACCTTATCATATTAAATTTAATTTATTATTTTCATTTATTATACTTAAATTTATAGCAAAACTTTTAAAAATGATAAATTAGTTTTAATAATAATAATATTAAAATCAATTATATAATTCCAAAAAATTAATTTTAATTAAATTTTAATTAAGAATTCTAAATTTATAGTTAATAGAAATAACATATCTTTTAAATAAAGATAAAATTCATAGATATTTTTAGAATTTAAAATTTTTGAAAATGTTTTTATTTAATATCAATCATAATATTAAATTCTTTATTATTTTTAACTAATATTATTAAATTAATTAGATGATCTTACATATTATTACATATAACTTAGCTGAATAATAATGCTTTTTATTCATATTAGATAATATAATATATTTATTGTATCCTAGTTATACATGAAGTCGAAATGAAAATCCAAAAGTCAAAATATTTGACTTTGGAGATCAAAGTTGAAATGAAAAGTCAAATAGTTGAAATAATATCTTATCACATGATTTTTTATATATAAAAAAAATGTATGATCTCAGTCATTATCGCTCTGATTCTTATGAAATAATTATCATTTAATTCTTCACGACTAGATGAATCCCAATGAGCTAATATTTATTGATTTTGGATCAGTTTTTTTTAAAGACATAGTAATGCATTTATTTATTATAAAATATTCATAATCAGTTAAAATAAACATGAAAATCCCAAAAAAAGATACAAAAGTAGAAAAAATAAAAAATGCTACCTAATAATCATCATTAGTAAACTAACTCCAATCAGACCAACCAGTTGTCCTGTCAGATTCCAGTAATAATTACTAGTAGAATTACTATTGTCACTAAACTAAAAAAAGAAAAACGTTTAATAAATAGTTATTACTGTGTTAAGAAGCTAGACTATTTTCTGTCATGTATGTATGATTTAGTCATTAGGGATGTGTGATCATTAGAATTCTGCAATTCAATTTGATATTTGAATATTTGATTTGATTCGATCAAATTCAAATCAAAGAATGATTTATTTGATCAATTTCAAATTAATGTTTGATTCAATTCGATCAAATTCAAATCAAGTATTCAAATATTTGATTTGATTTGAATCAATAGTAAAGACATCTCCAAAGCTTCAGAAGTGCCTCTTACTAAGAAAACTATAGTAAAAAGCGCCTCTGCAGCTTTAAAAATGCCTTTTTACTAAGAAAACTATAGCAAAAACGCCTTCGCAGCTTTGGAAATACCTTTTTTACTAAGAAAACTATAGTAAAAAGCACTTTCGCAGCTTCGAAAATTCTTTTTTACTAAGAAAACTATAGTAAAAAGTGCCTTTACAGCTTCAAAAATGCCTTTTTTACTAAGAAAAACATAGTAAAAAACGCATTTGTGGTTTCAGAGACATTATTTTACTTAGAAAACATAGTAAAAAAACGCCTTCACAGCTTCAGAAATACTATTTTACTAAAAAAAAACATAGTAAAAAATGTCTTCACAGCTTCAGAGACGTTTTTTTACTAAAAATTTAGTAAAAACGTGTCTGTAGCTTTGGAAATATTTTTTTACTAATAAAATTGTTACGAAATTAAGATGGTAGTTATTACTAAGTTTTTTTAGTAAAACTGAAGCCGCAATAGCAATTATTACTAAGTTTCTTAGTAAAACTGAAACTGCAGAGTTATTTTATTAAGTTTAATAGTAAAAATTTACCTGTACTTTGTAAAAGCTATTTTTGAAATTTTTTAGTGTAATTACTAATAATTTTCTTAATTAAAACTTTAAAATAACTTTATTTTAATATATTATTGTAAAAATTAAAAAAATTTATATTCGATTCAATTTGATTTGATTAATTTGATTTGATTCAATTCAATTCAATTTGATCAAATTCAAATCGATTTAAATTGATTCGATCAAATATTTGAGTTTAATTTGATTCAATTTGATTCAATTCAAAAAAATCAAATCAAATTCAAATTGCTTAAATATTTGATTTGATTCAATTTTAAGGAACCCTAATAATCATATTTTAGATCAAAAATAGAAGGAAGGTTGTTAGCAAAACTATTGATGGTGAAATTGTTTGATGAACTGTAATTTTATTTTTTGCTGTATTTGAAGATATTGAGAAAACGTTCTTTTTCTATAGTAATTTTGCATCTTGATTTCCATATAATTTCATAAGTTTGATCAAAAATATAGTTGTAAAATGAAGATAGAATTTTAGAGGTAATTGTTGGAAAATGAGTAAAGAAATCAAGTAATTTAGAAAGGATAGTAAGAACAATACCTTTAATAATATCTATAAAAGTGAAGTTGTAAGGATCTTCTTTTAAAGTTCAGAGAGAATAAAAGGAAATAAAAGAGAAGTGATATCAGAGGGGTAAATTGATTTAGAAGTATGTATGAAGAGTTGTTGTTTTAGTACTAGTAAAGCTGCTGTTATAATTAGTTTCATCTCTTTTTTGATATTAGAATAAATCTAAATGTGGTTAAAGCTTTCTTTATGAGTATAACAACGATAGCATTTTCATGATAAATTATAGATTGTAGATTAAATCGCTTTCATGAATTCTATGGTAGAAATTTGTTTAAAGAGAAATTTAAGTTATCTACAATATACTCGAGATTCTTTTAAAAGAAGTTTCAGTGAGGATGCTGAGTTTGATGAATTCAAAAGTCAATGACTAATTAATTTGAAGTTAATAATATTTGCTGTTTCTTTTTAGATAGTAGAAATTAATGAATTATTTGGTGTTGGTTAATGATATTGGACGAAATTATTTTTTAAATCCGAAATATTTCAGTTTTTTTTAAAATGATGAAATTTTTCTAAAACCAAACCAAAACTGAAATGATGAAATAACGAAATAACGAAACTGACAAAACTGACAAAATTGACGAAACTAACGAAATAAAAAAATATCTTAAAAAATAATTAAATGTATTTTTAAATTCATTATAATTGTTTATTATTATTTATATACTATAGAAAAAAATATATTTATATTACTAATATTATTATAAAAAAATTATTTGTCTTCAAAAAAATTACAAAAAATAAAGCTAATTTGAAAAAATTATTATAATATTTCTCTATCATTATTAAGTAAATATTTTTCTGTTAATAATTCAATATCATAATCATTATTATCATCACTATTATTTGAATCTGAATAACTATTATTATCACTATTATCATTTTCACTATTACTTAAATTATCATTATTTCATTATTTGCTATATCAATATCTTTTAAATTAAATAATTGTTCAATTATTAAAACACGAACTTCATAGGTTAGAATTTTTAAAGCTATATTATTATTTTCTTCTTCTTCTTCATCCTCTTCCTCAAATTGTAAAAATGTTAAATCTTCAATCATTTTATGTAACTCATCTTCAGAATGTTATTATCTAATATAAGTAAGTTCATTTTTTATATTTGAAATATAAAAAGAACGAATTTTTGCCATTGCTTCAATTTTAAAAGTTCTAAACATTGCCATCTTTTTCCATATAATCAATCAAGAGTAGAAAAAATCCTTTCACATCCTGCACTATGAGGGGTAATAGAAAATATCATAATTGCTAATTCACAAAAATAATTATATTTATCCTTTATTAAAAGCCACCAACTCATTGGTATTTCAATTTGTTTGTCAAACTCTTGATCATAAGAATCAACTTTCAATTCATAATTACGTATTTGTGCTAATAAACGATCACAAAATTTTTTATCACTACCTTTATTTTTTCAAATTTATGCTGCTGTAGTTGTAATTATTTTCCAATATTTTTTCTTTAATCTATATGCTATAAATAAATAATAATAATTATTATTATTATTTTAAATTATTATTATATTATTTAATTTTTAAAAATTTA